TTTGTTTAATTTCTAAAAGGTCAGATTTTGAGAGCATTTCAAAATATTGAAAAATTCGTAATTTTCTGAAAAAAGCATGATTTCGAAAAAGGAATGCATGGCTATGTTGCCAACGTTGGCTTTAATCGAAATTCGTCGAAAAAGGCTAAATTTAATGAAAAACCACGTTTCCTTTAGCATTTAAAGAAACCGGAAGTGCGCCAGATATCTATTGGAAGTTACCCTATCAGCGCGTGCGCAATTTACACTACCAGTGCACTTCAGTAAGATCAAACAAAGCCATACGGAGTTAGTTTTTCTCTTTCTGTTGCTCTTGTTTTTCTGTCTTTCTCTTATTTTGTCTTTGTTTGTACCTTTTTTACTTTGCATTTTGCAAAACACAAAGAAAAACGCGTAAAATGTAAGCGAATTTGCAAGTTTTTGAGTTGTTTTTATTTCCTGCGCTCAGGCTGACGTAAGTGACCGGAAGTGAAATTTCACCTCCTTAGCAACGCGTGTGAGCGCGCGCATGAATCGGTTAATGGGCCCTTAAGCTTAGAGAACACTTAGCTTAACTGGCTCAAACAAGCCTACCCAGCTTTTCACACCTTCAAGGCAGCTCCAGTCCAGAGTTTACATTTTAATTAGTCTTTGGTTCTGTGAGAGATTATGGCTGGATTTAAGTTTTCTTTCAGCCAGTGAAATAAGTCCACATGTGGCCCTTAACAACATCCCTGATGACCAGTACTTTGTTTCTTTACCTTTGAATTATTGTGAGCAGAAAGCTACATGTATGTTTAACTATGAGGTCTTTTCATGCATAATTTTCTGCTCTTTTCCTCGCATGACACAATGTAGGTATGCAATGCGTCCAAAAACATAAAGCTGTCTCCCTTTGTTGCATTAATTGTGCCACACATAATTACAGTTACTGTATTAAATACAAGGTAATCAGTTGACCTGTCCTTTTTAATCCTTTTCAGATGTTCCCTTTCCCAAAACATTTCTTCCCACTGCCAAGAAGATCTTAACAAGACTTTTCAGAGTGTTTGTTCATGTTTACATCCATCACTTTGACAAAATACAATCTCTAGGAGCTGTAAGTATCAACCATGAATCCAAGTACTCTTAGAAGCACACTGTAAGAACTTGAAGATAGCTTTGAACAAGATCTTAAAGATTCTTTATTTATTTAATAATTACATGTATCCGTGTGAAGTAAGAAAGTGAAAACTAAGCTTAGTCAGAATATAATTATTACACAATTGGTTTGTCTGTTGATTGGTCCATTTGTTGGTTTTTCATTTTGTTATTTACACCTCCATAACACAGACACTCAGCTCTTCTGTCCCATTTTGTGTCCATATTAAAGATTGGACTGAAATTTTTATGAAGGATGTTAAGATGCGTTTTGATAGAATTTTATTGTTTTGTGTTGCATTCCAGGAAGCACACGTGAACCAGTGTTACAAGCATTTCTATTACTTTGTCACTGAGCTTAACCTTGTTGAGAGGAAAGAGCTTGAGCCCCTTGTAAGTCAGTTATTACAGGTAGCACCTATATGCCTTTGCACCACCCCTTGGTGGCATAATGCAGATCACCTTTCACGGAAAGTTAACTGCATATTTCACACTTCTTGATCCTGCACCTTTTATCTTCCACCTCATTAACTATCAAACAAAAAGTACAAGTCGAGACAATTATGGATGACAAGTAGCTGCATGTACATGTTACTACAAATCACGGTTCATGGCTGTTTAGCAGCAAACTTTTCACAAGGATGAAAGCAGCCACTGTCTTTTCTCATTTCATGCATCAATTCAAATATTTGCAACGATACTTTTTACCACCCTCTATTCCATGGTTGTTACTCCAGTGACACTACTTCATTGAGCATTTGTTTGGGAGGGAGAGGTGAGATGTGGTGGGGGTTGGAATCTGATCATGATCTGTCAAAAATCTGAGATGGAGGAAATAATACAAGTAAAAGCAGCCAAGTAAACTTAGATGTTTCAATTTTCCAAGAGGGCCTTCGATTCCATCTCGTCCCCTTAGGGTTCTAAAGTGTGCATAATCTGGGGCAGATAGAGCATTTTAGAGAAGGGGTTGCGAGATTTTTGAGAAGTGGGTGTGAGAATGGGATGCAAGATTTCTAAGGGATGCACCGGACCCCCTACAGGGGTCCAGGGCATCCTCATCCTTAAAATTGAGGTCCTCGACTGAATCCCCCCNGCACAACTGGCACAGCTCCCTGTTTTTGAAGAAGTTGGGTCTTCCCCTATCAAGACTGTATGCTTGCATAGCAAGATTGAGAAGTGTGTTAATGGAAGTATTTTTTTTCCATACAGAAAACAATGACCCAGAAGCTGTGTTGTTGACAGCAGGACTGATATTTGTGATTTCAATGGTAGTTTGTTTGTAAATACATGTAGAATGATCACTCTTTTCCAGTTGTAGCAGTAATTTTGTCTTGCTTGAAATATTTAATGAATTTCGCTCTTATTGTAAAGATGACTTCTTTATATGCATGCATATTTTCATATATAATCTATTATCAATTGATAAATTTATACAGTTTTGGTAGTTGTTTATAAGGAACAAAGAATTATTGAAAAAAAAAAACCTAACAAACCATAAAGAAATAGCTTTCGTTTAAAAATGTCTAAGCACAAATGGTGAGAGTTTTGTTACCATTTCAATGTTTTTATAAAAGAGAATTTTGTCATGATTTTTCAAATTGTGGCTGAACTGCCAATGGAACCTTGTCAATGGTAGTTTAAATGAATAGAACTTCTCTCCATTTCTATTTAAGGAAGCTCACGTTATTGTTGTAGATTTAATTATAGAAACACTCCATGATTGAAAAATAAATGGGAACGGTTTTCAAACTGGATACCTAACTTTATCTATTAATTAATTTTTTTTTTTTTCTTCTGCTCTGCGCATGGTGCAGATGCACTGGTCTTTTTTTTCAGTGAAATCGAACCGCTAGTATTTTCACCCGGAACACGGCTGACGGGAAGGGAGAGGAGGGAGACTGGAAAAGAGCTCCCCCCTCCTTCCTCGCTTTTCACTCCCTCCCCCCCTCACAACAACCCTACCCCGTTTACTGATAGGTTAAATGAGGCGCGCTTTCATTTCAACCAAAAAGTTCCGGAAATTCAGTGATAAAAATCAAATGGAATAGAAATTCCCGGTAACAAATATCGGAAGCTCCCAGCGGTTGTCCTCTTTGCCGGAAATTGTGCAAGAAGCTGTTCCACTCGCTACTGAAAATTTTCGAAATGCAACTCGGAAATTTTGGTCGAATGGAAAGCGTCCGAAGATAATAACGACAATGCATAGAGTTGACAAAAATCACGCAGCACGCGAGCGCAGATCAGAGTCTAGCCGACACCTACGAAAATTAGGACTGGGTTTTTCACAAATCATTAACACATCATTAAAGGATGTTTATTTCTGTGTCTTCACGCAGTTGATTCCTCTTTTAATCCATTGATCACGAGACTGCATGCAAAATCCGCTATATCACTCTTATGGTCTCTTGCGTAAGGCGAATGCTCATGTTTGTATATGTAATACAAAAAGGACTAAGTGCAGTCCAATTTGGAAAGAGGAAAGGTCTGGANCCAACTCGCTGTGATCGCAGCCAAAAGATCTAGCGCTGAATAGGAAATCGAGAATTTGCATAATTTCCGAAAGAGAGGACAACCTCGTGAGGTATACCCAAATTTTCGAACATATTTCCCTGGAAATTTCCGTCCCATTTGATTTTCATTCCGGAATTTCCGAAGTTTGGGTTGAATGGTTCGCTTTTCGGAAATTCAACAATTTGCCTCCGTTTCAAAACATTTCGGAAATTTTGGTCGAATGGAAAGCGCCCAACGTTGTCTGTGTACGTCTCTGTGTACCTGATTGAGAAGCTTCGTTCTTTTATAAAATCAATGGGAGAAAGAAAATTTAAAAGAGCGCAAAACTATCATCGGGACCGGTTCAAGTTTATTGATAAATTGAGCTTACCCGAAATTTCCAAGATGGCGGAAGCGTTGCGGATTACCTTTGATTTGGCTTTTGTACATTATGCTTTTATTTCCCCACTAAAATGCTTCACCTTAATGCGCCAGGTTTTTCACTAAAATACTCGGTTTTCCCCAAAAAAGTTGCTAAAATGCTCGGTTAATGCTCATACATAGGTTTTTTTTTTAAATTTTAACGTTTCAACACAATTAACAGTTTTTTCGTCGCAAAACCTCATCCAAATCACTCAGTGTGACATTCTGTCGAAGTATCGAGTGCCTGTCGCCCGAAAGCGTGTTCATTTGCCAGTATTTCCTCGTTACTTTCATTGCTTAATTTTCTAATGGGTAC